GAGACTTATCCTCCAAATGAAGAAGTGGTTGACTTGGGATTTATAGGTACCTTGATGAATGAAGAAGAGTCAACGATCTCCATTGATGAGGGTCACGTTGATGGAGTCAAAGGTAAACATACTTGGGGAGCGCAAGAAGAGATGGTTGATTTTGATCAATTTCAAGCCAAGAAAATCCCCAAGTGTTGGAAGAGTGGAGCAAGAAAGATTTTCCTCTATGTTGGATGATTCAAAAGTATGCTGCCTGGAGGCATGATAGGCTAATTGATGGCACATTCTTGTGGTATCAAGATGGCTATTCTTAGTGACTTGAAGCCACAAGAGTTGATTATGGAATGCATCTTGCATTTCAACATTTTGCTTACTTTATGGGAGATAACCCATGTTCTTTCTCTTTTCCTTTTAATTACTTTTGTTTAGTGGTTCTTTATTTTCTTTTACTTTGATTTTTTTGTTAGCATGTGCAGAGAAGGTGTCAATCTCCTCCCAATTCATTTGATGATTCTCATATGCAGCATTTTAGTCCAACCAGTCACTCGGGCGAATGAGAAAGTCACTCCTGCGAGTGGCTCTGCAGTAAGCAAAATTATTGTGACTGGTTTGCTCTTGATTTCTTTTATTCTGCATAGGATCTGTGCTTTGTTTTAAGTTTGGGGAATTGATGTCTACTCTGTTCATGCATGATTATTGTTAGTTTATTTTGTTTCGAACTAAACATGGGAATTTTGAAAACTGAAGTTGTTGACTTTAAAATTTTGTGTGTTTATTGCTGAAAGTTCTAAGACACTCTGGGAAGTGACTCATGTCACTCGGTAAAGTGACTCTGAACGTACTTGATGTTTGAAGTCAATTTATTTCTTTTACACACCCCTATATTTTGTTTTACCTTCATGTTTCCTTTCTTCTAGGTTCTTGAGACATCATTTGTATGTCATATCCCTTAGTAGCTTGTTAATTCTGAAATTTTATGTGCTTAATGTGTACTTGCTAGGCTTTAGTCCGGGGTAAAATTCTAATATCTTTATGAACATTGATGCCATATCTAGCAAGTTTTGTTGTAATTTTCAAAATTAGCATGTTTGAGTGCATATGAGTCCCCTAGTTCATTTTGAGTTACGATCTTAAAACCTGAATCTGTTTATGGAACTATAGTGATTCCGTTTGTTGCTTTCTAGTCTATGTGCTTAACTGTATGAACCAAGGAACTTCATGAGCTTAATTTCTGATATCTTCAATCCATGTTTCAATTCTAATCCTTGGTATTTGAGAAAAATAAATTTGCAGCTAAAGAAGGACTGCAAAGTCACTCCAGCGAGTGACCAAAGTCATTCCAGCGAGTGGCAATGGAGAAAAATAAAAATTCTGAACTCGTCCATATTGCTGCTGAATCTTTGTTGTGTTCTGATGTTCAACACAACTAAGAGTTTCCAAACCATCAAACGCATATGATGAATGATGTGCACCATTAAACCCTCCTCATCCATTTTAGTTCTCTAACTCAGGGAAGTCATCAGTCCTCTACCTCACTCACAGGAATGAGAATATCACTCCTGCGAGTGACTATACATTTTTTCATTTTTCTGCATTTTTTTTCTTTTGTGTTCATTTTGTTTTGTGTTCTGTATTTTTCATTGTATGTTATGTGTTTGTCAGTATTGAGGAGAATGCTTTCAATAAGTTTAGGGAAGTAGTAGGGAATATGTTTATAAATTTTTTCGGATTTTTGTGAATGCTAGTTCTATGATGATTGGATATCTATGAAGACCAATGTACTTAATTTCTTATATCTAAATCAAATTTTGATTTTACCTAACTCTTGGTTATCATCTCTGCACTTAAGCACACATGCCTTTTATGCTTAGTTACATTGAAGTTGAGTTTTATAGCATGCTCTGTGGTGTTCTAAATTAGTTAAAAATTTTAGATGACTTTTCTTACTACCACTTGAATGCGAAGTGTGGTTTGTTTACATGCTAAAAAGTTGACTAAGGCAAGCTTAAATAACCTTCTCTAATACCTTCTTTGGGAATTGGTAGGCGGAATGCTCTAAAATGAGTAAATAAAAAGTTCAAAAGAACTTGAGGGCGTGTAAGGTAGAGCATCAATGCTAAATCCCTTAGAGTGAAATGGCAACAATGAGTGATCCTTTGGCCTGGAAAGCAAAGTTTCCTATCGAAAGCTCTCGGTAGGAGGGGTCGGAAGTTGGAAAGAAAAAGAATCATGAGTCATAAATAGAAAAAGCCAAAAGACTCGGAGGTAAGTAAAAGGGAATGAGGGAGAATAGTTGAAAAGAAATGAATTGTGAGAGTCCTATATCTCTGAGGCTGCATTGGCCACATTAGCATGATTGTGGTAAGAAAGAATGAGTCATAAGGCTAAGAAATATCTAAATATGCACCATAAGCTGTTATTTACCTTATACTAATTTGTTACTTGGCATACTTGGCATGATTCACACACATACGGAGGTGATTTCGTAAAGACTGGGTGAAATTCGAATTTGGATGAAGATACACTTGTTTTTCTTGCGCCTGAGATGTTGTATCCGATTGTCATATGAACTAGTTATGTTTGGTAGTTGATGTGAAGTTCTTGTGTGTTTGTTGCAGTGTCACTTGCCTGAGTGACTTTTGTCACTCAAGGGAGTAAGTAGTGTCACTTGCTCGAGTGACATTTTCACTCAGGGGAGTCAGTGGTTAGCTATTGTTTTCTTGTTTCTATGTGTAGTTCTTAAGTGGTTAGATTGTTTTGCTTGAGGACAAGCAATTCTTTCAGTTTGGGGGAGTTGATAACGGTCAAATTGTTACATAAAAACATTGCAATTTTGCTCTTTAATTAGTTAGAAATTAAGGGTGTTTCATAGACTTTGTTCATTTTACTTAGCTAGTTTTGTGTTTCTAAATAGGTGAGGACCGGAGTGAACAAATGTTGAAAATGGGGGCTTATGGAGCAATAATTGGCCTGCTGATTCCAATTTGAAATGAGGGCTGAGTTGGTCAAAAAGCAACTCCAAGACACAAGACACATTGGGAGTTAATAAGGGTGTCCCACAATAGAAACTAAAGGGCATGCTTGTCCCCTTGAATGAAGAACCAACCACCCACATTGATCAATGCTGTTGCTGATACCACTGTTGGAAGAAGAGGAAAAGGCCAGTCAAAATCGGATTCAAGACACAATGCATTAGGGTTAATAAAAAATAAAAAAACATGGTGAGACTATCTTGGAAGAAGAACCGGCAACAAGCTCTATAAAGGGGGCTGCATTCCTAGAAGAAAAAGAGCATCAGAGGACATACAACACGCAAAACACAACAAAGAGAGAAGAAGAGAATGGAGAGGGGAGAAAACTTCAAAGGAAGAAGAAGTGCAGCAGCAAAAGAGGAATAACAGACCTCATTCGCCTGAGGTCTACTTTTGTCACTCAGGCAAGTGACCTGCTGCTCAGCCATCCCGATTTGCTTCTTCTCAATGCTTTCTTTCTTTTCTTGTATTTTTCTGTTGTTTGTATGTGTAGTTAATTAGATTTCATTCTCTGGAATCTATGTAGTTTAAGTTTGTGAATGCATTCGGATGATTTTGAGTTTTGAAGTTAAAGCTTTCATCTACCTCTTGATTAAATTGTCCATTTGATTGATTGTGCATAGAATTAAGTGAATCCCGGAAGAGTAAACAAGGTTCAGAATCATTTAGCATCAACTTATGACTTGGAGGTAACAATCGAAGGTTCTAATTGAGATAGGAATATACTTGGTTAGCATAAGCATTCGTATAAGGATTGAAAACTTAATTCTTCGATCTGTGGAGTATTATTTGGATTACGGAAGTGCGAGTCACTTCAACTCTCTAATGTAGTAGTTCAGACTGACAACAAGCTTCTTGCTGATGCTCTGGTAGGCCAAGTTGGGTTTCCTTGGAGGCATTTTCTGAAGCTTGTTGAGATGAAGAGTAGCTTGGAGAGGAGAAGGTATTCTATTATTCATATTTACAGAGAAGGCAATTCTGTTGCGGACTTCTTAGCAAAGATGGCGTCAATGGGAGAATTTAAACTTTTTGAAACTTTCAGTTCCCTTCTTAGCTTTGTAAAAGGACTAATGGTTTTAGACCAAAGGTCTTTTCCTTATCTACGAAAATGATTCGGAAAGAAACATACAAGTTGAGGTGATGTAATAGTGGTGAGACTTAAGCTCTGCCACTTCTTGCTGCACATTAATAATAAAGAACGGGGAGAAATGGAACTAGGGAACTATATAGTATATATGTTCATCCTTTTGCTATACCGCTTGGGTGCATTATACTGTATGGCACTGGTTAACTCAAAAATTTACCTCTTGGGTATACCCGTTGAGTTTTTTTGAGTCAGTTGGAACCTGAACACCATCCTAACCTTTCCTTTGGGATTAAAAAAAAAAGGCTTGAAAACTTAATGACTCTATGACTTGATTAATCATTGGAAATAGTTTAATTGAGTTCATAAAGATACCTCTAGGAAAAATCAGAAGTGACTTAGAGATATATAAGTGCCTGAATAAGCATGAATTCATACCAAAAGAGTGCAAAATTACAACTTGATTACATAGGAAAAAGAGAATGAATATCCAATTTGTTTAGTCAGTCCCTTGAGTCGGAATTCTCACTCCCCTGAGTGAGGTTTCATTTGTCTTTGTTTGTCTTCTGTTCTACAGAGTCCATTCGCGTGAGTGACTTTGTCACTCGTGCGAGTGAGTGACACTCTGCAACTTTCTTTCTTGTTTGTATAATTTCATGTTCTGGTTATTTGATGTTTAACCCGTCCCTGTGGGATCGACCCGACTTATCCTCTCTACAATTTAAGTTGGTAATTTATTTTGGGGGCTTCGACAACCCACCACACCACTATCAGTTACGCAAGAACAAGGACTTATTAATTCACGTGATATGGACAAGAACTACCTGCAAAGCTGTCAAAGTGAGCATAATTCACTGATGCTGATCCTGCATTGCCTGCTATCCCCTTGCCTTTTAGAATTCTCTCAAGCCTTTTTGCACTGCACCAGAGATCACCATCTGCAAGTCCCCATTATTATCTGATGTAATGTTTAGAGGAGTCTCCCCAACTGTCACCATATTGCTCACATTGTTCATTCCAGCAACCACATTGTTCATTCCAGCAGTCATTTTGTTCATTCTTGCAGGTTGCAGCTGCTGTAACTTCTTGTTCTCATGATACCATTTTGGAATTCCAGTTAGCTTAAAGCGCTCCTCCTTGATATGTCCAAGTCTGTTACATCTGTACAAAACAACTTGCTCTTATCTCTCTTTTGATATCCACCAGTGGTGACATTCCCTCTATATCCTATGGTAGACATCCCAGGCTTCTTCCAATCAAATGTTTTGGCCACCAGAGCACTGTTCTCAATTGGCAGAGCCATACTAGTACTCACTTGTCTGTGTTTCTCAGTTGTCAAAATCATGTTATAGATCTGATTAATAGGCGGCATAGGATCCATGAGCAATATGTTGCTCCTTTCTCTTTCATAGACCTCATTTAAATCCATAAGAAACTCCATTCTCTTGTCCTCTGCCTCCCTGGTTATCATCAATTCTTCAATCTCATTATCAATAATTGGAATTGGCCGCAACTGTGTATACTGATCCCAGAGTTGCTTCAAACATCCATAGTAGGCTGCCACACTTGAATCTCCTTGTCTTACCAAAGCTATTTCACGCTTTATCTCAAACAGCTGAGGGAGATTAGTTGTTCCATACTGCTCTGCTATGTCACTCCAAAGAGTTCTTTCATCATTGATGAAAGCAAAAGTATTCGCTATGTCAGGAGACATTGAGCTCTTGATCCATGAACAAACTAAGCTGTTCGCCTGCTTCCATCCGGCAAATCTTGGTGAATTCAATGGCGGTTTAGGTAAATTTCCTGTCACAAATCCATCCTTGAGCTTTGCCTCCAACACTGAAAGCATCGCTTCATTCCAAATTAAGTAATTCTTGTCATTCAACAGTACCAATACCAAAGACGTGCCACGATTCTCCAATCCATGGACATGAAGTTGAATCTCAATTAAAGCTTCTTGATCTCTGTAATCCTCTCTCTCTCTCCATGAATTTCACGTTTGTCATCCATTGTATTCGTAATCAAACCAATTCTTAGCAAGAATCAAGATCAAAAAACAAGAAATAGACCCAGAAATCTAAAATATTAATACTCAGTAGAAAATCTCAAGAATCAACTCCGTAAATTGTAGGCAAAATTCAAGAATCTCATGGAGCGGAATACAGAGTAGGATCTGATACCATTAAACAAACGATGATCATCATAAAGAAATTGCAAGAAATAAAAGCAGCAAGTTCTCAGAGTTTGAATCACAAAATGGAGAAATCAGAGAGAAGTTTCCGGAAAGATATTTAGTGTTCTATTATTTTGTACAGCTCATGGTCCTAACTACCATATATTTACATGCTTACAACCGACTTAATGTACAAGTATGAAATCTAAGGGCTATAATTAATTCTGTACAAGTGATCCTAGCCATCTATCCAAAATCAATATTATTGCTAAGGTGGCTTCATTCCCAGTATCTCTCTCGTATAAGCGTGTTGCACAAGGACGCATCAAAGAGTTGATGATCGTATGTGGATGCAGCTGCAACAAGAGATTCCTTTGAACCAGGATGCACACTGTGTGAACCCGAATGCACTTTCGGTGAATCAGAATGCACATTCTGTAACAATATTATTATGGATATTTAGTTATATGTTCTCCCTAAAGGAGAACAAATCAAGAAACAGAACTATTCATGGATGAGCACCCTGAAGGTGGTATTAGTTATTTGTTCATAATGAAGACATCTAGTTGTAGTTTATTTTATATTTTAGATTAGTAATTTCTTTATTATATACTTTATCGTATACTTTATTATTTCTGATTTATGAGTCCAGACAATGTCATCATTCTTTTGTTATATAAAAATTGATTTAATGCTCCTGTAGAGCATGTATATGAATTTCTTCACAAAAATAGGCAAAATCTCCAGAAGAGCAGAAGTTGCTATGGCAAAATACAATATTGTGAATGCTCCCTAACTACTGGGAACATGTAAGTACATTTCTCCATAAATAAAATTGGATGAAATCTCCTATAGAGCATCAATTATATAATACTTTGTATGTGTGCTCTAGAAGAGTAAGAATACTTTGGTAGAACAAAAATAACTGATTAAATAATGGTAATACGTAGTAGACAAATTTCATTAGAGTAAATGATCCAAAAGAGTTGATTTGGCATAGATGAATAGCAATTCTTTGTTGTTTCCATAAGAGAACTTGTGAATGTGACTCTGGAAGAGTAAATAAAATATGTCATAAGCAAATAAAATTTTGCCCGAATATCAAAGGTGTTCGAGAAAAGATGCCCGAATATCAGAAAATTATTTTCATAGACTTGTACACTAAGAATACAGTTTCTAGAAGAAAGTTGTCTTTGTATTCTTTTGTATTAAAATACTATACATGTATTACTATTGTTGTGTTTTATAGTAAACCCAAAGTTTACTAGGGAACCAGAAGTTCACTTCTCGTACCAACAAGTCAAACCAGAACTTTACTGATTATAATAAGTTTACACAATTAACATACTTAAGTTCATGTTATTTAAATTTGGAGAACTAGGAGTTTCTTCTAAGAAATTAATTAATGTGGTAACGAGTTAACCACTTATATGTTTATCATTAACTTGCAACCTATAGTTTTTGAAAGTTAACTACAGACTTTAATTCAGTTATGTGGGTATTTTCATATTCTCTTATGAGAGAATTTTTATTTGATAGTTCTAGTGAATGTATGACTCAATACCAGAATAAATGTTTCAGTGATAAACCTTGAACATAGAGTGCCTATACAAGCAAAATTCAAACTTGTGCAGTAGAATTGTTTATTAAAAGTGTTCAAAAAGAAAGTAATACCTAATATACACAATTGAGGATTTGTTTGAACATAAAGGCACCAATCATATGTATAAGACCAAATGGGTCTTCTTAGATATTCTTCCAAACATTGGTTTTGGTCAGAAACCATACATGTCCATCTGCAAAATTTAGATATGCAGTTTATATTTATTGTTTCATCACAATGCACGCAAAGATGGAGACCCTGGAAGAGGTTAATAACATATGCTGGATTTTGAACCTGCAGCCTTTGGGGTTATTGATGTTGGGTTTTACTATTCGGTTGGTTCATTGTCTATTTGACGAGTTAGTTACTCCAAAAGGAGATCTATTTACTACTCGATTGGTTGGCTATCAGTTTGACGAATTAGTTATTATAACATTAGGGGAAGAAGTAAAAATAGCTGATTCATTAATCGAATGGACGACATCATTATTTCATTAGATCCTCGATAGTATGAACCTGAAGTTCAAGAGATAATATTTAAGACCAGATTATTTGTCTAACCAAAATGTGCAAATATGTTACATACAAAAGGCTATTAATGTTTAAAATTTTGATATTACATCCTCGAAGGATCATCTACTACTATTATTAAATTGAATGTCCATTTGATAAGTGGTAGAACCGTCTAGATCTATTTAGATACTAAATACGAGTGATAAAATTCCAGAAGAGTTTGGAAATTGAATAGTTTCCCTCTATGATAAATAAACTTCCAGATGAAGAATAGAAGTATGTGGGAAACTTAACGATTTTGAGATATAAATGCTAAAGAAATATGGAATCGATCGGCAATGAAATGTCGACATAAAATTTGCTTGCAGCAGTTAGTAAAATGAATAAAAGGAGGATCATAAAAATGAAAGTCTGTTGGTGAGTGTAGACATTAAACTTTTTAGCCATAACAAATTAAAAGACGCAATACACACACCAGGAGATGTATAAGTATTATTGGAGTTGCTTGAAACTGTAAAAGTTTTGGCAAATAATATACCAGCCTAATATTGTTGGATGATTGTGCAAAAGATAGATAGGAACATGCTTGTTACACAAGTTTTTTCAAAAGCCCGGATGTTAATCATGAGGAGATATATTCTCTTGTCGTGTATGGAAAAAAATCTTCCGTTATTTGCTACATCTGGCAGCAAATGAAGAAATAAAAATGTGTCTATTGAATGTAGTGATCACTTCAAATTTGATATTTGAAATATGATACTTGATATTTGATAATGACGTCTATGGAAAATCTTAGAAGGATTCAATAAGGAACATGGTTCCAATTCTCAAGAAAGTAATGCGAAAAACTTGCGCAAGTACTAGTGCCTTCATTAATTTAGACAATATTTAGGTGCATATTTTTTTAAATGTTTGGTTTATACACTCGTTTATATACATGCTGTATGTGAATATGTTATGTTTGCCTATTTGTAATTCTCTATGTCTTTAAATGATAATATTTGTATGATAACCTCAAGCTTCCGAGATGTCGAGTAAATATTGCAGGACACAGTGAAAATGTAGATAATACAATATCATGTCTCTCACATAAAATTTACAAACATTGATATGCACATTATGGCTAAACAATGAAGAGCCTTAGCACTTGATCTATACAGGCACGACAAACATGGCATCACAAGTTCTTGTCCTTGATTTCATTTCCTCCACCGGGGGTGAAGTAAAATACAGAGGGTTGTTGTCTATGGACGGATATCGAATCGAGCCATCACCCGCAGTTGAAGCTTCAAGAGGTGGTGCTGATGGAATGGAACCAGCAGTGGAGTTCTCAATTGTTGTGGCTGAAGAGGGGATGGATACCTTATCCATGCATAATGAGATTGATTGGTACCATGCTCCAAAGATCTTGATTTTGCATGCCAAAGACAACAATTATTGAAAGAGAAAAATAATAATGTTCATAATAAACAAAGAAGAAAGAGTTATACAATAGAATTAGCATGAGGAATTTATAAAGATTTGAGTTCCATGTAATTCAGTTCTCTTCCACGTAGTCAATTATTAACTACCACAAATTCAAGTTTACAAAAAGATTTAAGTTCTTTCCACTGTAATGAATCTTGCATACCTTATGGCTGGAGCCAGACTCAAGATCCAACTTCTACCTACTGAATGCAAAAAAAAACATTACTAGTTATGAGACTTGACTGAACCGATCACACCTTTTCATTAGTAGAGTAGATTAACTGATTCATGGTGCTCTTCGCACCATTATCTAGCTGAATAAGTTTGAGGAAATTATAAGGGATTGGTGGAGCATAGCAGGCAACCATCCTGCAATAATATTACAGTTAACACTAAGACAGGAGCAAGTAGGTTGCTTGGTACAAGATTTCTCTATGTCAAAGTAGAAAGTTACAAACAAGTCATAAGCAAGCTGACTGAGCTTGTTTGCCTTGGTGTAAGAGACTAAACGTCAACATTCCAATCTTGAACAGAGAATAATATGTTCAAATGCACATGTACAATAATGGAACAAAAACAACTGCCTATCACAAGATGAAAATCGAACGGCAAGACAAAGTGCAGGGAGATCAGTTGGATAATGGATACAAAGGGAAGAAAAGGAACTTGCACATTGTCTTACGGTTATTCGTGCAGTTCTTAGGCTACTACTGTGTATAGACGAAATAATGGTAGCAATCCAGATACAAATGCAAATAAGAGTAAAGAACAGGTAAAAAGGAAAGTCTACCTACACTAGCACCTCGTGCTTTTGCACAACATTTATTAGTATGAGATTAAAAATAAATCAACACCCTTAGAAAGTAAAGTTGCCTCAGATAGAAGAATTGCGTCTCACATGGAACCCAACACCAATGCTAGAAATCTCTGCAGCTGTTTTCTAAGTATACAGCGCCAAACCAACTCTGCAACCATGATGAACCCAATCAGCAAAAAATCGTAGTGGAAATATAACCTAAGAAACTTGTCTGATTCTGGAAGCATAACACGAAGATACTGTTTGGTTCAACAACAAAAACTTCACCATGTTGTT